GGCGCCCCCATCCACCCGCTCTGTCCCCCCAGTATCACAGCCTGGACCTGCAGTGTCCTGGGGAGGGGGGCAGACCACACAGCCAAATGCGCCCCTGCCACGGGGTAGGTTCACGCGAAGTGTTACAGCCGTCCCCAGGAAGGGCACCGTCTCCGGTCTTCAGAATGTCAACCTGAAGTTCCTGAGGAGTGTGGTTCTCAAATGACACACACCAGACTCCTCGGCAGCGCTTGTACAAGTGTGAAAGCTACAATCTTAAAAAAAAAAAAAAAAAAAAAAAAGCCAAACAAACCAACCAAAAAACTGTTGCTGGGACCGCACCCCCAGGTATTCTGATGTGACTGGTGGAAAATGTTGCCTGGGCAGCAGGAATTTTAAGCTGGGCAGGCGATTCTAACGGGCAGCAAAGTTTGGGAGCCATTAGTTTCAGCTCAGGTCATGATCTCACCGTTCATGAGTTCAAGCCCCGCGTCAGGTTCCATGCTAACAGTGGAGAGCCTGCTTGGGATTCTGTCTCTCCCTGTCTCTGGCTCCACCCCCCCCCAAATAAATAAAACTTAAAAATCCTCTGGGGAACATCGTGAACACATTGGCACCTGAGTTCCACCCCAACCATTCTGATTGAATTGGTCTGAGTTGGGCTTGAACATTGGGAACTTACAAATCTCCCCAAGTGTACACAAGGAAATATTATTCAGCCTTAAAATGAAAGCGGGGGCACCTGGTGGCTCAGGTGGTTAAGCATCCGACTTCAGCGTGGGTCATGATCTCGTGGTTCGTGGGTTCAAGCCCTGTGCTGGGTTCTGTGCTGACAGCTCAGAGCCTGGAGCCTGCTTCCGATTCTGTGTCTCTCTCCCTCTCTCTCTACCCCTCCCCTCTCACACTCTGCCTCTCTCTGTCTCTGTCTCTCTCTCAAATAAATATTTAAGAAATAAAAGGAAGGGAATTTAGACATGCTGCAGCACGGACGAACCTTGAAAACATTATACTAAGTGAAGCAAGACAGTCACAAAATGACAGGTACCATATAATCTACTTACATGCGGTACCTGCGGTGGCCCAGTTCAGAGAGAGGCAGAAAGTAGGTTGGTGGCTGCCGGGGGCTGGGGGACCGGAGACTGACAAAGTGTTCACTGGATAGAGAGTTTCAGTTTTACAAGATGAAGAGAGTTCTGAGCTTGGGCACAACAATGTGGATGTATTGCACTGTGTACTTTAAAATGGTAAACATGGTGAATTTTATGTTAGGTGTATTGTATCATAAACAAATATTTTTAAAGAGAAGTCATGAGGGGCGCCTGGGTGGCTCAGTCAGTTAAGTGTCCGACTTCGGCTCAGGTCATGATCTCACGGTTCATGGGTTTGAGCCCCGTGTCGGGCTCTGTGCTGACAGCTCAGAGCCTGGAGCTGCTTCAGATTCTGTGTCTCCTTCTCTCTCTGACCCTCCCCTGCTCACGCCGTCTCTCTCTCTCTCTCTCCTAGAAATAAATAAATAAAACATTTAAAAAAAAATTAAAAAGGAGTCATTAAAAAAAAAAAATCTTTGCAGGTGCTTCTAAGGGGCCGCCAGGGCTGTGGAGGTGCTTAGCCAGCCGTGGAATTATCGAGAAGCTCGGTGTCATTCGTGTCCTCACTGAGAAACTGGTGATACTCCTTGAGCTAGTATTAATAAGAGAGTGGTATCTGTTCTAGTTTGGGTTCTTCTTCTAGTGCTCCTCCTCCTCCTCCTCCTCTTTTTTTTCAAAGGCTTATTTGTTTTGAGAGAGAAAGAGAGCACATGTGAGTGAGGGAGAGGTGGAGAGAGAGAAAGCCAAGCAGGCTCCACACTGTCAGCGCAGGGCTCGAGCTCACGAACCCTGAGATCATGAGCCAAGATCAAGAGTCAGACTCTTAACCGACTGAGCTACCCAGGCACCCCCCTTCCTCATCTTTGGGGCAAGTCACTCTTGAACTTGGCCAGTGCATGCTGGGAAACTCATTCCCTTGTATCGTGATCTTTGTTGTAGCTTGAAGATAATTCTCACACTGAGAACGCTCCCAGAAGTCTATTTTGTTTTCATCACAGACATGTGATGAACTGTGATACTGAGGAAGTTTGTCCCCCCACATGCTCTGCAAAAGGTACTCCTTTGATACAATCTTTTGCTCCTTTGATCAGCACGGCAGTTCTGCCTCTTTCTCTCTACAGCTGGGTCCTGGAATTGTGCAGTCTGCATCCCTCCCACCTTCCCAAAGGAGGGAGATTTTTGCTCATGGTCTGTGCTTGGAAACCGTCTTTCTGTTTGGAATCTGCCTTGGGAACGGATTCCCCACTGGAGAGAAACGGGGATGCCCGTGATATTACCCATGTAGCTTCGATTGCCTCCAGCAACCCAGAGGCTAGATGGGCTCAAGCCCTGATTGTACACCATTCACATACATCGCAATCTCACTGAATTCGGTTTCTTTGGTTATAGAGAATACTATTTTCAAACTTTGCTTATAACGCCCATTCTTATTAAAAAAGGATAACCATACTGTTAGTCTTTCTGGGCGACATCAGGATGGGGGGAGGGTTCATGCTCTCCAAAGTGTAGCTGAGTGGCTGACCAAAGCCACACGCTCTGACTGTGGAAAAGACGACAAGAAAGCACCACCTAGAAAAAGTGCTCGGGTGAAGCGTACGGAATGGACCTTCTGAGGGCTCTATTCTGGGGTCTCTTGTAGGTTTGAAAGGTTCTGTTATACAGTCACCAGCCGCAACTGCAGACGTTTATAAAGAGAGAGAGCTCATGTCAGTTGGACATGTTGCACGGGCACACTGCCGCTCAGGAGTCATTTTATTGTGATGTTGGGCATCCCAGTGAAGCCCAGGCTGTGTGAAGAACTTGGAGCACAGAAGGAAATTCACTTAAAATCAGGCATTAAAAAAGAGACTTCAGGAGGGTGGCATTCAAGGCAAAAGAAACAGCATGAGAAGAGGGTTCAGAGAGAAGTGATGTGCCAGTGGCTGGCCAGACACATAAGATTAGAGGGACTTGGAATGTGGGGGAGGGAGGAAAACACAGAATTCGCTAGGAAAAGCCTTGAAGGATGGAATGGCGAAAATAATTCTCCCCTGTAAATACATGGAAAAGCATTTTTACACTCACAAGTATCCAAATAAAAACATTAAAATAATAACGAGGACGGAGGAACGGATAAAGATGTTGGGGGTGGGTATATATACACATACACACGTGCACAATGGAACATTACTTGGCCATCAAAAAGAGTGAAATCTTGTCATTTGCAACAATGTGGATGGAACGGGAATGTATTATGCTGAGCAAAATAAGTCAGAGTAAGACAAATATGATTTCACTCATGTGGAATTTAAGAAACAAAACAGATGGACATAGGAGAAGGGGAGGAAAGTTAATATTAAAAACAGGGAGGCAAACCCCAAGAGACTCTTAAATACAAACTGAGGGTTGCCTGAGGGAGATGGGTAGCGACGGGGTAAATGAGTGATGGGCGCTAAGGAGGGCACTTGTTGGGATGAGCACTGGGCGTTGTATGTAAGTGATGAATCCCTGGGTTCTCTTCCTGAAATCAATACTACACTATATGATAAGTAACATGAATTTAAATAAATAATAATGATGATGAGATATAATTTTTTTGTGCTTTAAATTGACAAAGCTTTAAAACTTCATAATACCCAGTGTTGGGAAGGGCTCAAGTCAGTGGCTCTTCTCATAGGCTGTTGGTGACCCTGTATATTGGGATGAAATTTGCACATGGCAGTAACATCAAGAGCTTCACACACACACGCTCATGTGCTAACATCAAGAGCTTCACACACACACGCTCATGTGCGTAGTATGTATATATGCATATATATGTACTCTTTATATATATATGTGCTCTTTATATGCACACATATGTTTGTATGTACACAGACACCCAAATACACACACGTTCTTGGATCCATTATTTCCACTCCATTTAACATATCCTGGGGAATAATTAAGGATGTGAAGAAAGATTTAGCGAAATTATTTACTACAGGAAAATATTAAAAGCAAAGTACGCATCAACCAATAGGATACTTATTAAATAAATTCTGGTTCCTGCATTCAGAGGAATCTATCCAGTAATTTAAAATACTGGCACAAGAGAGCATTTTACCTTCTTTCCTCCCCCCAGCTGCTAAGGGTGCCCCACACAGTGACCTGGGGGCCCTCTACCTAGAAGGAATCTACAAAGGGGGACACAGGGTTGGTCTGTGCAAGCTCCTAGGTGATCCTGATGGCCCTCACTAGGTTGAATATTACTGATGTGAAATCGTATTTGTTGGTACAGAGAGATGTCCAGGACGCATCGACTGAAACAAGCGTACAGCATGATATCATTTCTGAGAAATACTTTTATGCAAGGGAAACAGTATGGAAGAAGCTGTAGCGAGATATTACCCACTTTTCCCTCGGTGGTGGTGGTACAGATCATAATTCCTTCGCTTTGCCTGTCTTATTTTTTATTTCTTCAATAATGACTACATATTAACTGCATAAGTAAAAATTTTTTTCTAAATAACAAGAGGACAAACATAGATTAAAATACAATTTGGCAGGGTCACCTAGGTGGCTCAATAGGTTAAGCATCCGGCACTTGATTTCAGCTCAGGTCATGATCTCATGAGTTTGAGCCCCGCATTGGGCTCCATGCGGAGAGTGGAGCCTACTTAATAATTAATTAAATTAAAAATATGCAAAGGAAATTATATTTGTTTCACATTATTTCCTACAAACTATTGCATTCTCTGATTTCAAAAAATGGCAAATATGGGTGAAAGTTTTATGCACTCTTAGTTTGAAAGAACTGGGCACCGTAGATACTTTGTGTCTTCTTACTCAAGAATCGTCAGACAAATTTTCAATTTCCTTGACAACTGATGGCGTCATTGATTCTATCAGTGGCTGACTTTAACCTTTTTTTTTGCCTAGAAAAACTGAATTTAATCATTTCCTGACGAAAGAATGCAATTTCCACTGACCATTTTTTTACACCTTGGTGAGTAGTCATTGTCAAAATCCATTTTCTGCTTGTATTGAATTCTTCTAAAATATCTAGAAAAAATATTTTAAAACCTATCCACCTCTTTTTGTCTGTACTACTACATATTTCGTGGTTTTTCTGTTGTATCATTGTGTCAAGCAACTGGAAATTTCCACTCCCACGTGTTTACTATCCACACATTGCTATTTCGATCATCTTTCATGAAATATGTTCTTGTCAGCAGATAATTAAGTAAAGTAAGATACTAAAGAACGTGGAAATACTTTCAGATTCTTAACTTACAAATATAAAGCATTTCAACTTTTAAATATAGGTCTGTTTTGAAAGTAGCTCTTGTCCCCGAAATGAGACACAATTGCTTGTGAAGAATTTACAGGCAAAATTCCCTCTTCTGAGTAAGCGGCAGCTCTGCTAAATCCTCCATGCCTCTGCTGTCTGTAATAAGCTGAGAATAATTTACATTAGTCATAGAGAGGATGTTTCCAACAATTATTCTCTTTGATCCTGACTTTTCTATAACCGGCCTGCTTCTGGTTCCTAAGTACTAACTAAATTGCTTAGAATGTTCTCTTCAAAGATTCATGCTGAATTTCTTCATGGCAGCAAACTTTAAGAATCTCATTTTCTCATTTTGCAATTCCCAAGTCCTGAGGCAATCTCCCTGTTAGATTTGCTGGTGATGGAGGAAAGAAGAATACCTTGAAATAAGAAATGCTCATTTGTTCTCTGTTGAAAATTCTCTGCCCCCGAGAGGGGAGCCGCAAGCCAGTGGGAACAGAGACTGATTACACTGTGTCCCCCAGGACAATGGAGCTTAGATCTGGCCTCAGACAGCCAGAGAGGAGTTGTTGCAATCTGTATCTGCCTTGGATGCTCTCTTTGGAATTAAACCAGTATCCAAAATCAGAAGCAGCCACTGGGGGTTGCTGAACCTCCGTTAGGATAACTTCCTGACACCTTGCCAGAATGCTAAGCCACTGCACAGTGACTCAGGGATCCCTCCTCAATTGGGAGACCCTTCTCTCAGGATGAAAGATCTTCAAACCTGAATTAGCTGGGGCAGAAAAAGTCCTCGCTGCAGTAGATCCTGGGTTTCTAAATGTAAACTTACTCTGACCAGCCCAAATCTCTAGGGTCACCTATGGTCAAACTAAAACATCATGGTTACCATGACATACTACTATACATGGTTAATCCCATGTCATTGCTCAGACGTTTTCTGGTTCAACCATAGGCATTTACGTGAAAACTGGAGCCTATCGAAACAGTTTGTCTTACATTCTGACTAGGGAAGGTTAGGGAAAAGAACCACAAAATGTGCATTGGCCCCAGGTTTTGGGAACTGGGCACAAAGTACAAACCTTATCTAACATGCATTCTTTGTAAGTGTTCTTACGTGTGCGTATATGTGTGTTTACAGCCTCTAGAACTCTGAAGTGACCTCTGAAGTATATGAACACATCACCTGTGTTTAAGAAAATGAGAACGATATACAAAATTAGAGATTATATAATAATGATGATTTCTACAAAATGATCCTTCACTTTACAGAACATTTGCTGTACCTTTTCTTTAAATGACCAGATCTCCTAAGTTGGTGTTTAATCAGATCGTATCTTCAAGTTCTATGTCATCTTCGAGGAACGCATTGATTCTCTAAAGGCATGAGCACCTTTATTTTCTGAACCAATTCCAACCCGTTGCTAATGTGATAATCTGGCAGTTGAAAACTTCAAGCCAGGCAGGGTATTGCTAAGGTTATCTGTGTTCAGGCATGAAGCTTTAACTGTTTGGTTTCCAGCCACTTTGGGCCAAGTATTTGAGGCTGGAAATTCATATTTGCATTTAGAATGTTACATGAATGATCATTCAATGTGCCTACGTCCTGGGATATTTTATTTCTGAATAGTACACACCTGATCAAAACAAGTTAGGCCACGTCAGGTTATAAAAACATGTTAAATCTCTAAGGCAGCAATTCCAATAAAAGAATTCAGGACGGAACTTGTCGAGAAGAATACATCCCTGGAAGGTAAGTCTTAGCTAATCCACGCGTAGCATTAGCAGAGATTTTTATACCTGACCTGTTTTAAAAAGTCTCCATCTACAAGAGTCCAACCTTCTGATTCGTTATTTATCTTAGAGGTCAACTTTAAGAAATAAACGGAGATCCAGGTTTGGGTTGTTGGGTGAATAAAAGGAAAAATCCATGTTAACCAGACTGGGATCATTTATTATCCAATGAAATGAAAGTGTGTGATGGAGCTCACTTTCGTCACCTATCTATCTTCAAGAAGGAGAAAGCAGTACTGTACCTTTGTTCTAGAATAATAGTAATCTTGGCAATGAGACTGAAGATGGAAAATTCCTTGTCCAAATAGATATTTGGTAACCTGCATGGAAGGAGACATTTTGTATCATATTCTTAGCTATAGGATTATGATTTATGTGTTGTTCATGCCTGATGATAATCACAAAATGACCAGAAGAATAGAATAGTTCATGTGGGGAATGTGGACATAAGAGAAAAAGTATTACTTCTCAGTAGCTTATGGTTTTGGAGGGGACGCTGAAGGAAAGAAATCCATCAAATGTGAAACAAGGCCATAAAAAATTCTTATAGTTTTACAACTGAAAAAAAACTGGAGAGAAACCAAGCTTCTTGCACAGTATGGGAGTAATTTTCCATCTTCTGCCCATCCCTCTCCCTCCTGTCTGCTGGGATAAGTGCTTGGCATAAATCTTCATGTCTCAAGGGTAAAGTATATAAGAGTGGGTTTTGTGTGTGTGTCTGTGTGTGTGTGTGTGTGAGAGAGAGAGAGAGATCTTAGTGGGGGATTTACTTGGTTCACCATCTAGAGGCCACTGAGGTAGTTTTGAAGGGACAGAGGATCATTTGTGTTTTTCACTTTTTATTTTGAGATTACTGCAGGTTCTCATGTAGTTGTAAGAAATAATACAGAGAGATCCCATATCCCTTTCACCCAGTTTCCCTGGATGGTAACATCTACCATGACAAGAGTATAGAATCCCAATCAGGAAATTGACACTGTTATAGTCCTTGACCTTATTCAGATTGCACCAATTTTATATGCACTCGTGTGTGTGTGTGTGCGTGCGTGTGTGTGTGTGTGTATTCTATGCAACTTTTTCATGTGATCACCACCAAAGTTAAGATCCCAAATAGCTCCATTCCCTCAAGGATCCCTACTACTACCCTTTTATATCCACACCCTTACCCCTAACTCCCCATCCCTGACAGCCACAAACCTATTCGCCATTTCTATAATTTTGTCATTCAAGAAATGAAGTCATGTAGTGTATAACTATTTAAGAGTTGGGGTTTTTTTTTGGGGGGGGGGGCACCTGGGTGGTTCAGTTGGCTAAGCATCTGACTTCAGTTCAGGTCATCATGTCACAGTCTGTGAGTTTGAGCCCCGTGTCGGGCTCTGTGCTGACAGCTCAGAGCCTGGAGCCGGCTTCAGAGTCTGTCTCCCTCTCTTTCTGCCCCTCCCCCGCTGTACGCTCCCTCTCTCTCTCTCTCTCTCAGAAATAAACATTAAAAAAAATTAAGATTTTTTCCCACTCACTGCAATTCACAAAGTTTTAATTTTGATGAGGTTCAATTTACCAATTTTTCCCTTTTATAGATCACGTTCTTTTTGTCAACCTTAAAAATTCTTCAGCTCGTCCAAAGTCTCAAAGACCTTCTCCTACGTGTTATAAGAGTTTTATAGCTTTACAGTTTTATATTTACATTGAAGCCCATGACCCATTTTGTGTTAATATTTGTGTAAGGTGTGAGGTTTCGGAAGTAGTTCATTTTTTTGCCTATGGATTTCCAATTCCTTTAGCGCTGCTTGTTGAAAAGGCTAATCTTTCTCCATTGACCTGCCTTTGCACCTCAGAAATCAGTTGGACGTATTTGTGTGGCTCTTGGACTCCCAAGGGGGCATGGTCTGTTCTGTGGTGAATCTGAACCCAACAATCCAGGTTATAAAGGGGGCCAATTGAAACTACGGGTTTTACGAGAAAGTTACTTCCCAGGGATTTCTTAAATTCTCTGCTTGATTTTGTACTGGTTAGAACAATAGGTAGCAGAAGCTGTATTGAGATTTTCTGTCCTTGGGTCTGTGTACTAGTCTTTGTTATTTGCCCTCAAATGACACGTAGAGAATTTCTGGCACATGGGGCTGTCTCAGGTCAGGCTTCCCAGATGCAGAGGCTGAGACACGGATTTGTGTTGTTGAGGGAGAGCCCTGAGGAGTAAGGGAGTGAGGCAAGTGGAGACAGGATGTGGCCCCAGCTGGAGTCAGGCGTCAGCCTCCTGCCATGAAAGATTCTGAACATAAATTGTACCACAGAGTTGATCCCAGCCTGAGCCAGTGGTCCCACAGCCTTTTGAACAGTGTACCCATCAGTCCCTGGCTACAGACTGGCCCAGGTGGAGACATGAATGCAGAAGGTATAACCTCCCAGGCTAAGAGATTTCCATTAGGCCAGGGGCACCAACAGCGTCCACAACAGGATGGTCTTTTTTTTTTTTTTTTTAATGTTTTTTATTTATTTCTGAGAGAGAGAGAGAGAGAGAGAGAGAGGCAGCATGAGCAGGGGAGAGTCAGAGAGAGAAGAAGACACTGAATCTGAAGCAGGCTCCAGGCTCTGAGCTGTCAGCACAGAGCCCGACGTGGGGCTCAAACCCACGAACCGTGAGATCATGACCTGAGCGGAAGTCGGACGCTTAACTGACTGAGCCACCCAGGCGCCCCCCGGATGGTCCTAACGATTAAGAGAACTGGTTTTGAAAATGAATGGGCTATTAACTTCCAACTTAACCAGTCGCTCCTTGAAGCCCTCTGCTACCCTTAGACTGCCTTCTAAGTAGCTGTGTCTTTTGCGTTCAAGGGTTGCTCAGTGTCACGAAAGGCCACGATGAATGCAGCAGGGGTGCCTGTCATCCCACCCCTGGCGACCTCCTGGTGGGTCGCAGTGCACAGCTCATGGCTTCTTCTACCTGTGGGCTGGACGGAGCCCAGAAATACTGCATCCTCAGCTACCCTGAGGTGGGTTGGTTCTTTATTTGTTGGGACGTTATTGAGTCGATGACAGATTTTTCCAAGCACGGCGGGGGCCAGCTGGGCACCACGAAAGGAGGACACATCATTCTTTCCTGAATACGAGAGGCACAGGCGATTCAGTTCCAAGTCCAGGAGATCTTGATTAATAAGAAAATCGGGACAATCTGCTGCATCTATTTCCTTTTACCTTTAGAACTGGACAGAAACACCTGTTTGGTTCCATCTTCAAAGGGAAGTACTCTACGACGTACTGATCTACCTAGCTGCATTAGGGACTCACTCAGGGTGAATTTAATTGACCCAGCAGTGAAGATCAAAGATCCCTCAGGGTCTCAAGGCCATTACACTGAATGTGGGTTCTGGCTCTCCTGCGTTAGGTGGAGGTGGGGTGGTAGTGAACTTTGAATCAATTGCCTGCCAGCCTCACAAAGCCACTTGGCAATTGTCTTGTCTAAAAGCCATGAGATCCCAGTGTCAACAGATTTTTGGAACTTTTTTATCTCCCCCTTAAAGACCAGTTTTAAATGGCTGCTTTACAGTTACTTTTCTTCTCCGTGCTGGATGTCGACAACAAGCATCCAAGGTCATCTGAGTATCATACCTGCTGAAAAAGCCCAAGGCAATCACGTCAACCCCTTAAATGAGAGGATGTGCAGGCAGGAAGTTGGACAGAAGCCCGACGTTAGAGGCCCAGGCTTTTCCACGTATTGTTAATTTAAAGCAATTCCTCGAGGTCTCTGGGAAATGCTTTGTATTTTATTCTAATTGGTTTCTAGTAAAAGAGGATGATTATAAATAAGTGGAGACAATACCTGAAGGCTTAGCACTGTTCTAAGTTTGGGAAGTACTTGTATAAGAAGGCAAATTCTCTGCGGGCGCGAGGAAATGACACTAGAAGTTTTGTTCAACTCTAGGCCAGGTGGGATGGAGGGCCCTTTGAGTGACTTTCCAATCCCAGGTCCTCTGGACAAAGAAATTGTTCTCAACTCTAATATTAGAAACTTTCCAACACCAGCATTACCCTTCTGGTTCTTAAACGACTGACATTTGCTTACTATTGTCCCAGCCAACTCATGATGTGCTCTGGCAATGATTAGGAATTAATACTCCTGTCTTTCAAAGTCACACCACCAAAAATAGAAGTAAATCAAACCTCAAGGTTTCTTTTGCCTCGAGAGTCCCAAATCTCAAAATCTGGGAAAGATTTCCCATTGTTGGTGGAGGAAAAAGAATCTCAAGATATCTTCAGGCTTACAAAGTGGTGGGGCTATACATACTGGTCTACTTAAACACTTGTGCATCACAGAGAAGGACTTGTTTCCCCATCTATTATCTAAAAAATTACTGCCAAACAAAACATTCTCCTTGAAAGCTTCAAATCAACATTGACCCATAACGTTACCCAAGTTGAGACTTCCATGTTTGTGGAAGTCTAGCCAAAGACTATGCTACTAAGATATTTACAGTAAAGCCCCAAGGTTAAAACATTTTCCCCAGTAATTTCCATAGTATAACTGGACATCTTTTGATGTCTTGACCCCTATTGATGGAATCGTAAGGCTTCTGCTGCTCTTTTAGGACATGTCTGGGACAAGCCTCCCCATATGCAGAACAGGTTTCACTTCCATTGCTCCTTAATTTCAAGAGGGAATTTTTTTTTTTTCAGGTATAAGGCTGAGAGTGGCCAGTGATTCTAAAAAGATTGTATGGATCTCCTGAAAGGCTGGCTTACTTTGAAAGACTCTAGCTGAAATAGTCATCAAAATCACCGTGCATTCATTCGACAAATTTTGTTCAGCCTCTGCTATGTGCGAGACACTGTTCTTGGTCAGGAGGACACAACCTTATACAAAATAAAGTCCCCGCCCTCACTGGACTTAAATTCTAATGACAGAGACAGATAATAATCCAACAGCTGTAGAATATAGTCTCAAGTGGTGATAACAGCTTACAAAATAAAGCAGGGTAAGGGATAGAGAGTGGCCGAAGTCACAAGGGTGGGGAGGTGGTGGTATTTTAGACAGAAGTCTGTCTGAGAGGATGGCATTTAAACAGAGACCCGGAAGAAGAGAAGGAGCGAGAGATAGGAATATTCAAGGGTTGGAGGGGAGAGGAGCAGACAACAGCTTGTGTTAAGGTGGAAGGCAGTACAGCTCCTGGTGAACTCAGGAAAGAGCAAGAAGTGAGTGTCGCTAGACTTGAGTGAATCAGGAGAAGACCATAGAGCGAAAGGCAGAGAGGTGGTCCTGGTCAGGGGGCGTAGGTCTTGTAAGCCATGGTCAGGATATCAAATCAGAGTTTGCTGAATACCTACCAGCGTGACTGCTGTTACAGGCAACTTCCGGTGTGGAGGATTGGAATAAACAGCCCCCCGTTCCCTGAAAGTTTTGCAAAAATGCTTCTCTAGAGTCCCGCAAGGAGTAGCCGTGAACAACTGTGCAGGCCACGGGCAGTCCTTTGGAAGTCTTTGGGGATTTCCTTGGGACTTTCAAGTATGTACAGCTACAAACGGGTGCGCTGAATTAGGCAAACTCAAAGGCCACTTTTGGCCATTCCATTGTAAAGTAATTCCAGTTCACTAATAGGACCTTCTGGTCTGAAAGACAAGAGTGTGAGCCTCTCTGTTATGAGTTTAATGAGAATCTTTTACAAACTCCACATGGAAGCGAGGCAAAGTGAGAATCTTTTACAAACTCCACATGGCACGGTCATGGAAATTTTTCTGCCAAAAACTATGTCTGAGAGAAAGAAAAGGATGGTTGCAGATCACCTGGTGGCCGAGTCTTTCATTAATTTCTTCCCAAATATTTGGGTGTTTTTTGACTAAAGAAATCCCTACTCGAAGAACGTATCCTGATTATTTCCCTTCAGTGTAACATAACCTCCAGGTCATTTGTCTCTTATACAAGACAAAAATTAGTTCCACATAAATTTGCATTTTTACCCCCATGTACAAATTTATAAAATCACTAGGTCCTAACTTTTATTTCGCTTCTCATTGTATATTAACCCCCGTTGATGGAAAAATTGATGTCTTGTTATTTCCTCTGCTTTTTATTTTTAGCCGGATTGAAAGACAAATATAGTAAGTACAGCTTGTTTCCAAATTGAGATCAACAATAAGTCATTATGGGTCTTTATTTTTTTATTGAAATGATGGTCTTTTCCAGGGGGAACAAAAATGTTTCATCTGTGACTCCAGATTTCCATATGACCCAGACACACAATCCCAGAGCCACACCATTGAGAACGTCATTACAAGTTTTGAACCAGAGAGAGAGAAGAGATGGTGGCAAGCTGAAAATGGTACGATTATTTTCCTTTCCAGGTTTTCCGTTTCTTTACATTTTTAATCAGATGTCTTTCTGTACGATCTTAACAATTTCACAGCAAGGATTTATACCGGAATGGAAGAGCATCCCCTCAGCAATGTAAAAGCCAGATAAGAACAAACTTAATTTTCATTTCAGGAAAGACGACCTTCCTTCAGAGAAATCCAAGTGTTTTTTAAGCACATAACTCTGAAAGCTTCACTCTTTCCGTGCGTGGGAAGAAAATCTCTGAGCGTCCGTTTGCTCTTTGTAAAGAAAAACATCAGGACACTTATGAGGTGCCAGTACATTAAGCCTAATATAAAACACACTCCTGTAAATGGATTTAACACCGCCAGGGGAAATCCGAGAGTTACTGCCATGTACTTTTTCCTTCGGCACCATATGCAGGAGAGAAGAAAAGTGCATTTCATGTCTTGCTGCAAGCCAAATATTTTAATATAAAAATTGAATTGAAAGGATAGTTGGCTCCTGGCGGAAGTTCTTTTCTGCCTGGACTTAATGCTCTTCTCTCTTCGTGAACAGTTGTGATATTGAAACTCACATTGGCCCTGACCATCCATATTTCCTAAGTGCCCTGATCGGGACCCAAAAGGAATTCCTTATGTCCAACTCAGACATGGGCCTTACGTGCTTGAATGAACGTAGGCTGGCTCACTCATGATGGCCCCTCTTCAACACCAGTCTGGAACCCTTACCCCACAAGATGATTCCATTTGCTGCATCTCTATATGTTGTCCTTAGGCTACAATCCCTCTAGTCTCTTCAGATGCCTAAACCTATTTCCCACAGGGGGTCCTAGAGCATTAGGGGGGGTGTGGGAATAATCAAAATGTATAGGATCATAATATAAAGGGCAAGCATAATATGAGGCTATTTTTCTATGCCTTCCATTGGACAAGTGTGATTGGTACCTACTAAAATGCCAGTTCATCTTGGACCTCTTCAGTGCATGTATATGATGCCTCCACTATAGCCACCTGCCTTCAATTTTTGCTTAACAGCTGTTTTAACGCACATGTCCAGCATTTGCTGCACATGGCCTCACGGGAGTGCCCCTCCGCCAAAGCTGATCACATAGAACAAGTGTTCTCAGCCAAGAACTTTCCAGAGGGGAAAGGCGATCTCCTTTCCAGAAAGGGTGAGGAGCCCTTGACCCAGAGCCAGGAATGGGGCTGCCCTCTCAGTGGCAACACCCCCCGCCCAAGTGATTCAGTCACAAATAAAACTGCCTCCCGTTCGGTGCAGCCCAGTAGCTGACTGCTCTCAGAGCTGCTGTGTAGTAGGCAGCCCCTCACCACACATGCTATGGGGCACTCAAAACATGGCTAATCCACACTGAGTTGTGCCTACGGTACAAAACCATTCCAGGTTTCTAAAATGTAGTCTGGAAAAAATTTAAGCATTCCTAGTAGCAAAATAAAGCATTATTAATTTTTTAAATATTGAGTACATGTTGAAATGAGACTGTGTTTGGTAGATGGGGTTAAAAATATTAAAAGTAGGGGCGCCTGGGTGGCTTAGTCGGTTAAGCGTCCGACTTTCTCTTGGGTCATGATCTCGCGGTTCGTGGGTTCGAGCCCCGCGTCGGGCTCTGTGCTGACTGCCAGCTCAGAGCCTGGAGCCTGTTTCAGTCTGTGACTCCCTCTCTCTCTGACCCTCCCCTGCTCATGCTGTCTCTCTCTCTCTCTCCTAGAAATAAATAAAACATAAAAAAAAAAAAAATTAAAAGTAGAAGTCTCTCAGGGCAGCCCTGACCAGGATAGTACTTTCTTCTCAGTCCCAGAGGAGCCGCAGGTTCTCACTCCCAGGGGAACATTCCAGGCTGTGTTTTATGCTAAGTGACGATAAAACTAGTCCAACTGATGATTATGCAGACGCTGGAAGAAAAGGATGCATGGATGTTTACCACACTCCTGTTTGCTAGCGCACCCTTATGCGCATGGCGGTCAGGTTGTGCTAGCAGAGATGAGCTCCCCTCCTCCACCCGGCCCTCCCTTCCCACCACCACTTGCAGCTTACCACCTATGGGAAACTTCCGGAACATCCTTGGCGGTTGGTAATACTGCCACACAGTGGCAGTGGCACAGCCACCATAACATGCAGGGGTACCCAGTCTGAGTACACCCTATATTGCTCTCAAATAGCCCTTTTCCTGGGAATGGAGCATTATGGGAAACCACTGTAAAAGACTGGGAATCAGTGTTGTAATGTAATGTAATTTCAAAGGGTTTTATTATAGACAAGCTACCTTGAGGGATTAATGTGGTAAATAGGTGTCTCTCAAAATCACTGATTCCTTCTTTCTGGATTTTTCTTCAGGTCTTGATCATGTCAGCATCAGATTGGACCTAGAGGCGTTATTTCAGTTCAGCCACCTTATTCTGACCTTTAAGGTACAGATGTGTGGGCTTGCTGCCCCTTTCATCTTCCTACCAAATGCTCAGCTTCCCCGGGATTTCACTTCCTTGCTTCTGGGTAGAGCACAAAAAGCTTTGTCAATGTCTATTCAAGCTTTGTCCAAAATTTAGGTCTTTGTTCCTGATTGGAAAACAGAACAAAACAAATAAAAACTCCACTGCTCATTAATTAATAACTTATATGGTTAACAGAAAAGGGAAGGAAGGAAAGGAATCTTACAAGGTGGACCAAAAAAGAAAACTCTAAGCACTAGGGTCATAGGGACCATAGAGCAAGAAAAAATTATTTTCAGGAGAAAAAAAAGCAGGAACTGGAAATTATTTCAGGAAATATGGAAAGATTATGATCAAAAGAGTCAGAAAAATGAAAGGGTCTTTACAAAGGATGGTTAGATGCCAGAGAAATCCTGTGCTATAGTCATTCTCAAATCATTCATCAAAATTCTAATTTTGTCGTCAGATCAGAAGCTGGGTTATGGTAATAAAAAATAAAATGAACAACGAAAAAAAAAACCCACAAATGTTTGCCCTCAGAGAGCTCACAGTCTAGTCAAGGATACAAACATCAATAGAAATTTAAAATCATAATACAAAATACATATATACAAATGTAAAATCAGGAAGTGACAATTACAATGCTGCTGGTTTCCTTCATGAGGCTAATGCTGCTCTTAGGAATCAGAATAAGCTTCATGATAGATTCTGGAAGATGCATGAGAGTTTTCTCTTCTAGTCAAAGAAAACTACATGTAAATTGCTGTAACATCAATTCCACTGACTTTTAAAGACTCTATATGCTACTCTTCGAAGAGTAATTCACACAGGCTCATACACAGTTTTAAAATGGAACCAGATTCAAGGCAAAGTATAGGCTCATAAGTGTTTGCCTGCTGATTGGAAAGAGATTTCTGCGTGTTCATTGCCTAACAGATTTCAAAAGATACAGAGTTTGAAAAACTGAGATTTGGAAATGCAGATAGTCGATCTGCAGTAGGTAATGACATCTGCCTTCGTGCAGCATTCCGAGGTTGCCCTCTGTTTTCCCAGACGTTCCGTCCTGCTGCGATGTTAGTCGAACGCTCCACTGACCATGGACATACCTGGAAAGTGCTCAAATACTTTGCAAAAGACTGTGCTACTTCCTTTCCCAATGTCACATCGGGCCCGGCCCAGGGACTGGGGGACCTTGTCTGTGACTCCAGATATTCAGATATTGAACCCTCCTCTGGTGGTGAGGTAGCATGTCCTTTCTTGGATTTCTCTGATAGAAGTTACACCTTTTTTTGGGGGGGCGGGGGGAGGGTGGCTAATGTGGTTCATTTACATGAACACAGTTTATATAGTGTTTATTGAAACGTAAGGTGAGCTGTGTTTTTGTTTTAGAGGGAGAGAGAAAGAGGGGAGCAGGAGAAAGGGGTAGATGGGGAGGAGGGGATCTCAAGCAGGAAGCAGCTCCACACTCAGCGCAGAGCCCGACATGGAGTTCAATCCCAAATCCCATGACCCTGGAATCATGACCTGAGTCAGACACTCAGCTGACTGAGCTACCCAGGTGCCTCTAAGCTGTTGTTTTTTAAAGAGTGAACAGGTTTAAATTGAAATGAGCCCTGAATTCATTTCAAATTCAGATAAATAGTAAATACCTTATAAACAACAATCCTACGTGAGAGATGACATCTCTCGTTACATCGTCTGCTGAGGGCAAGTGGGACTGAGAGCCAGGCTGGGCACTGGGGACGCAGGGCACCCAGACGAAGGAGCATCTGTGTCTAACCCTGCCATAGCTGTGGTCTCTCCATGCTCTATAAACCACCCGAATGACTAAGACATTCCATTCGTCTCCACGCTTGGTGCTTTTATTCACACGGGAACCCAAATAATAATCTGTATCCTACGCCAGCTGGGAGGCAATGGCTCAGCCTTTTAGTAAAGTCACAATCTCTTCTTTAAGAGTATATTTAACAGGGCGCCTTTGGTCGAGCATCCAACTCTTGATTTCAGTCTAGGTCTTGATCTCAGAGTCATGAGTTCAGGCCCTCTGCTGGGCTCCATGCTGGGTGTGAAGCTTACTTTAAAATAAAGGGGGGGGGGGCACCTGGGTGGCTCAGTCGGTTAAGCATTGGACTTTGGCTCAGGTCATGATCTTACGGTTCGTGGGTTTGAGCCCCACGTCAGGCTCTGTGCTGACAGCTCAGAGCCTGGAGCTGCTTCAGATTCTGTGTCTCCCTCTCTCTCCCATCCTTCCCTGCTCACGCTGTCTCTATCTCTCTTTCAGAAATAAATAAAAAACATTTAAAAAAATTTAAAAAAGAGTATATTTAACAATGTTGTTTCGGGTGAAATGCTATATACATTTACCTGCATTTGTTTTACAGGTCGTTTTGAAAGTGTTGGATCCCAGGTTTGAAATTGAAAACCCTTACAGCCCCTACATCCAGGGTATGAGCTACTCTATTTTTGTACCAATTCTTTTTCTAAAATTTCATGTTAGGAGAGTCCCTTGTCATTGCGTGTCCATTGTCCGTTAAGGGGGTGTCCGTCACAGAGAGTACCTTGATCTACCTGATGCCACCTAAGTGTGCTTTGCTTTGCTGTTTTCATTTCTCCAGACCTTGTGACACCAACAAACTTGAGGATCAACTTCACCAAACTCCATACCCTGGGGGACACCGTGCTTGGAAGGAGGGAAAATGGTTCCCTGGATAAATACTACTACGCTCTGTCTGGGATGGTGGTTCGGGGCAGCTGCTTTTGCCACGGCCACGCTAGCGAATGTGGGCCCACGCAGCACGTGCGGGGAGATGTTTTCGGCCCTCCAGGAATGGTGAGTCACGGAGCACTTCCAAAGAACAGCTGGCTCTCTTCCTTCGCGGAGCTGGTGTAGATCAGAGTCTCTCCATGGAGATCCGCAGTCAGAGTGACAGCTCCGTGTACGGGCAGGTGTCATTCAACACGGCATGACATCCCCGCTGGGGCCAGAGGTTCCTGAGCTCAGGGTAGCCCATCGTGCCCGCCTTCTTGTGTATTTGCTTTTTAGGGACCGGAGCTTTAGCGGTGAGGACCCAGCATTTCACACGCATTCTCCCACAAAAATGTCTCTAAGGCCTCTTGTGCGAAAGCCTGTACTCCGTGCCGGGGTGTTGGAGCATGTCTGCCGCTGTAAAAATGGTCCCTCCAAGTAACATTCTGGTGCCAGGAATGGTCATTCCTGGTGTTGAGCTCTTCCATTCTTGAGATGCGTCTTAAAAGAGCGATGCGGAGGAAGGATTGTATGTGACTGCAAAGTCCCAAGGGTGTGTCTACTACATAATTTTAAACCATGAGCCACAAGCAGACGAGGCTGGGTGCCGAAACTCCCGCGCCTTCCCTGTCAGCCAGCCCCCATTTCCCTGGAAGCATAAGTTTCTCTCTTTGAACTTGAGCACACAGGGCATTTTCGTGGACAAACCAAAAGAATCATACACTTTTGTCCAGGTTCTTTCTAATTCCCTCTTTCCCTTAAGATCTTAATCGCCCATCTCTCCCTCTCTCTCTTTCTCTCCTCTTTCCCCCCATCCTGTCTCTCATTGCATGTTGCCCTGCAACTAGAATTCAGAAATGCCAAGAAAACGTAAATAGTTCCTGAACATCTTAAACTTATTCCAAATGTAGAAGCCAGTGAGGCCGCTAATAGAAGATGGGCCACGAGAACTAAGAGCCGATGTGGCACCCGGCCCGCTATTTCCTTTTCCACTTCCAGAACCCCAGTGTCCTCTGAGCAAAGCCCTCTTTTCACACCTCGCAGGTCCACGGCCGGTGTGTCTGTCAGCACAATACGGAGGGCCCGCACTGTGAGAGGTGCAAGAGCTTCTTCCAGGACGCTCCGTGGAGGCCAGCAGCAGGCCTCCAGGACAGCACATGCAGAGGTACGTGGAGAAGGTTCTCGGCCTGCGTCCTGAGCTCGACGAATGTTGAGCTCGCTTCTGTGGAGCTGTGGGCAACAGAGGCTCCCGGATGAACTGGTGGCTCCCAGCTCTGACGGTGGGATGTCATACCGCTTCCCATTACCGCCCAAGGAAGGACACCAACGTCTCAAACCCTCACACCTCAGAGGAGCATCAGCTGACAAAATGAAACCATCTGCATGTTGTGTGGTCCCTGCCTCGAGGAGGGGCAGGGCCGCGCTAAGGGTAACATCGGGGGGGACTGGATTTGGCATGGAGACCCCTACTGGTCTCCTGAAGAATCATCTGTTCCATGAATACAGCCTTAAACACACACGTCAGCGAACAGGAGAGGCCAGGACCGTCACGGACTTTGACAGGCTATCGTAGCTCTTAGACAACATTTCGGCTCCTAAGATAGAGGGTTCTTTTAGTAATGTGTTTGCTGCCTCTGAATTTTGATGCACGTCCATACAAACTTGTTCCTCAGTTTCCGATCCCAGACCCGGGGAAATGGGCTTGGAGGCAGGCAGAGCTCTTATAAAAGCGTCCCAACCGCGAGCGCCCGTGTGCGACACCCACCAAAACGGAGCCTGAGACCTTGCTGTTTGCAGGGAAAACTTGACAAGGCCCACAGCACAGACTTCACCAGCAAGGCAATCCAAGTCCTCCAAGCAGACTACCTTTCCCTCTCTCGCTCCGACTGGACCCCAGAAGGGATGGAAATGAGCCATGGCCAAGCTCGTAACAAAATATATATTTTTTGTTTACACATTTACAGACAGGATGTGAGCAGAATCAGAGTACCAGAAAGATCCTTTGAAAGCACCTGTCCTAATCCTCCTGTACTCGGTATATTTCTAACAAGGCCACGGGGCACCGGCCCAGACAGCCGCCCCGCGGTCCCCCGGACCCTGGCCAATCTCCCCTAATCCCTCTCCTTCCTCAGCCTGTCACTGCAACGGCCACTCGGACCGCTGTCACTTTGACATGGCCGCGTACCTGGCGAGCGGCGGCCGCAGCGGGGGGGTGTGTGCGCGAAGACTGCCAGCACCACACGGAGGGACAGCACTGTGACCGCTGCAGACCTCTCTTCTACAGGGACCCGCTCAAGGCCATGTCCGACCCTTACGCGTGCATCCGTGAGTCCCCCGCCTGTGGCCTGCCTCTTCCCCGCGTGTGAGCGAAGGCTGGGGGAGAGGTCTGCCTGGGCTGCGGTTTAGCAGCATTTAGGGGCCTGGGGGTGGGGGTGGGGGCGGGGGCGGGGAGGCGTTTGCAGAGGCACTTGGCTCTAAGAGCTTTCCTTTCTCACGACGGATTGGGCCAGATACCCCAGGTCCATACTGGCAGCCCTGGCCAGTGGCTGGTACTGGTGAATCAGGAAGCTATTCCGGATTCAGCCAGAAGGGGTGTGGGGGCGGGGGGGAGGGTTCAGCAGATGCTGCAGAAGCCTGAGCATCCTGGGGGTCCACAGGGGCAAGTTAGCTAAGCACAGAGGCTCGACTTACCCTGGCCACTCCACTTAGGATGTTTCAACTATGCCACGATGCCAACGCAATGGGCGTGTGGTAGAAACATACTTAGAATTTTGAACTTGGATCTTTTCCCAGGCTAGCCGTGTGCAGATGATCCTCTCTCCCAGTGCTGGGCCGGGTAGCTAGGGGCAGTTCCCAGTCCCTGCAGCAAGCCATAGGCTTGAGCCATTCTGGGAACGCCTGGGTAGCTCAGTCAGTTAAGCTTCCAGTTTCAGTTCAGGTCATGATCTCACGGGGTTCAAGCCCCGCGTCAGGCTCTGTGCTGACAGCTCAGAGCCTGGAACGTGCTTCACGTTCTGGGTCTCCCTCTCTCTGTGCCCTTCCCCTGCTCACACTCTGCCTCTCTCTCAAAAATAAACATTTGAAAAAATCGCTTAAAACAACCAACCATTCTGTACCCATACAACCACTCCGTTTTCGCTGTCGCTAAGGTATTTAGTAAATTACACGCGACGTTCTACACTTTATTATAAAACAGGCTGTGTGTAGGCAGATTTTGCCCAGCCGTCAGCCGGTATGGTTAAGGCAGGCTAGGCTAAGCTGTGATGTCTGGCAGGTTAGATGTAGTAAGTAGATTTTTTACTCCCAGATCCCAACTTTTCAGGAAGCACACTCTCTCAGAGTGATATAAGTGTGAGGTTAACACTTGTCATTTGCATTACTGTGACAGTGAGCACCCCCTTAAATTTTGGGCCCGAGGCATCTTGCTTGCCTCACTCTGATCCCAGCACTGCTGTAGATTATCCCGTAGATAAACTTGATTTCAAGTACCGAGTGCAGGTAACTGGGTCTCAGCTCTCACTCTACTTGCAGACTGACAAGTAGCTTGTTATTGTTCTGTGGATGCTGGCAGAAGACACGAAACTCCCCAGTTAGAGTCCAAGGAGTTTATTACTCATCGCACAGCAAATAACAAGATGTTTATTTTGGTGTGTATTCCCATGTCCGCAAGCCCTGAGTCCCATGGGGCAACTCAAAGGGTGCCCGGTGGATCCTGCAGACATGATGAGTCTATGTCACAGCCAATGTCACAGCCAAGGAACATCGTGCTTCGAGGATTCATTGCTTTTATAGCAAGGAGGGAGCATGCTTGTTCTTTGTCCAGGGGAAGATGTTACCTCACCCCTCAGGGTAGCTTGCTGACGACGCAACCTTGAGAAAGGGCCTGGGTGAAGAGCAAGCAGTACCTTGCGTTGCTGGTAAACTCAGCAAGAAACATTCCAGTGCCCAGACCCACGGAAGGTTGCTTCTCCCCACACCCAGAAATCCTGCTTCTTAGGCTCTGTCATCAATATATTGTTATATTGGAGGGGGAGGGGTTTGCTATAAAATTATAGCTTCAAACTGTATATAATCATCCTACATAAAACGAAGTCCTATACAAAAGTAGTTCAGTAGCCCCCAGAATATATACAACATTCTAGATTTCAAACTTTAAATCCTCACAATGTAGAAAGAGCATAAATGAAGTTTTTGTTCAGATTACTGAATAGGCACCTGATGACGTAAAACTTTATGTGATCTGTTTAAAATTGATACACAGAACTGAATGCTCAGACAAAGTAATTTCTTTAAGTCAGTGTCCTGAGTGCCCTACTTCTTCACCAGAATCTATAACCTGCTCCCCCGACACACATACACCTTTTATTAATGTTTAAATGCTATGCATTTATAAAAGAAAAAGGATTGCTCTTAGGTGGAATCAGGGGAAAATAAAATGTTTTGAAGCAGATAACCTAGGAACCTGCAAAGAGGCTGCAAGTAACCAAGCAAGATATTCACCTTAACCAAAACCTTGTTCCTTTAGAACCAGTTAATATCGGGGCACGTGGGCGGCTCCGTCAGTTAGGCGTCTGACTCTTGGTTTCGGCTCAGGTCACGATCTCGTGGTTTGTGACTTCAAGCCTCACATGGGGCTCGGAGCTGGCAGTGCAGAGCCTGCTTGGATTCTCTCTCTCCTCCTTTTCCTGCCCCTCCTACTCTCTCTTTCTCTCTCTCTCTTTCAAAATAAATGAATAAACCTAAAAAAATGACTTAGTATTAACTTACATCTAAAGGAAACTGAGATAAGAAAACTGGTACCCAGATATAAAATTAAGAGGTCATTCTATATAAACAAGGAGTTTTTTTTTTAAGGAAAAGCTAATGAGGAGCCTGTAAAAACAATCTTCGCGAGACACCCAAGTTTCCCTAAACACACGTTTGTGTTTGTAGAAGTCTGTGTATACAAATAGCATTTATTAAGTCTGACTAGCAGTCTCCTATAAATTTTCTCTAAATTGTCCTCCTTTGAGCCTAAACATTTACATAATCAGATTCCAGGCTGAGAGGTTGACTAATTTTCAGTCTTCTGTGATTAAAACACAGTCAAATGTGATACAGAAATAAAAAAGATTTGGTAGATTCAACCACTGATAACACAAGTTTGCTGGAATTAAGTTGTGTGATGCCAAGGGTCTATTTTATTGGACTTCTGAAGGCCATGACACAGGGTTATTTCAGAGTAAAATTACTACCCATTCACCCACATCCCTTCCCCAAAGGCTACTTGGGTGCATAATTAAATTATACTCTGGAACTCAGGGCTGACCCTTTGGGTGTCTCTCAAATAGAGCTGACCTTTTTCCTCTTGGCTACTTCTAAAATGACTCCAGCTTGTTCCTTCCTTTCTAGAAGCAAATGTGTCTAATTAGAAGAAGATTCTGTTTTTCCAAACTAAACAGAACCAAATGCTGTTTTTCCGTAATAAGATTTCATTACCAGTCATAGTCCGATAGCAATCGAAAATTGAAAAATTCTGTCAGAAGCAAAAAATAAGTGTTTGCCTCGATACACCAAACGCCTGATTTCAGTAGGTTTTTCCATGAAACTTCCCAACCAAAATGATTATTATATCAACCTGCACAACATGGCTTTCGGGACGGGGAGTTTGTTTTTGTTAATCCAAAGTAAACATATATAAACGTGAACATAATTATTTCTTAGAATCAGGATATTCTTTATTTTGATAGGGCGAGAGCGAGCATGAGCAGGGGAGAGGCAGAGAGAGAGAGAGAATCCCAAGCTGACAACATGGAGCCCAATGGGAGGCTGGAGCTCATGAACCATGAGATCATGACCTGAGCCAAAATCGAGAGTTGGACGCCTAACCAACTGAGCCACCCTGGTGCCCCAGGATATTCATTTTTTAATTTTTATTGCGTTCCTGAAACGTGGCATCCCTTGGAAACCCAGCAGCACCACATGGTCATCTGGTGTCCCACCAGCAGACCTGTCCTGTCTTCCAGAAGGCCAGTGGCTAATCCTGTTCCGGCCTCTCTCGGGTGCCTCCCCTCCTAACTGGGCGGTCACTGCTCGCTTGGGCGCCTCTGACTATCGGAGAGTTCTTCCTTCTGTCAAGTCCAGCGCCGCCTTTTAGAACTTCTCCCCTCTGGGATTATTCACACTATCAGCATCCGTTTTTCATCTTCTAACTCCTTTCTTGAGTTATTCCAGCTTTTGCTGAAAAGAAAAAGAGGCTGGTACTTCTGTTGCTTCTTTGTTACGGGTGATCGTTTATGTCATTTTGCAGAAATCTCTTCGCCCAAGCTTTTGCCTGCCAGCAGATTTTCATAAAGAAAACAGCGATATAAACCTTTCTTGCCATTCTCTCCCTTTCTTTCTTGTACATGCTCCTTCCATGAAGAATTAAAGAGAATAGGGGCGCCTGGGTGGCTTAGTCGGTTGAGCGTCCGACTTTTGCTCAGGTCATGATCTCGCGGTTCGTGGGTTCGAGCCCCGCGTCGGGCTCTGTGCTGACTGCCAGCTCAGAGCCTGGAGCCTGCTTCAGTCTGTGACTCCCTCTCTCTCTGACCCTCCCCTGCTCACGCCGTCTCTCTCTCTCTCTCTCCTAGAAATAAATAAAAACCTTAAAAAAAAAGAATTAAAGAGAATAATACCACTTACCCTTATTTTTCTGTGACAGGGAAGAGCAGACATGCTTTCTTAACCACATTTCAGAGTTTTGATAGACATTTTGTGTGGCTTTTTTTCTTTCTCACATCTGTATTTGTATATTTCCTTAGAGCACCCCACTCCTACTTGCCTATAGACCTTATTCTCACCTTTGGAGTCTTATTGATTCTTTTTTTAACCTTTTATTGAAGTGAAATTGACACGACATAGAAGTAGCCATTTTAAGATGAACAATTTATTAGCACAAAGCTGTGTAATCAGCACCTCTGTGTAGCTCTAAAACATTTTCGGGGCGCCTGGGTGGCTCAGTCGGTTAAGCTTCGGACTTCGGCTCAGGTCATGACCTCACAGTCTGTGGGTTCGAGCCCCGCGTCGGGCTCTGTGCTGACGGCTCAGCGCCTGGGGCCTGTTTCAGATTCCGTGTCTCCCTCTCTCTCTGCCCTTCCCCTGCTCATGCTCTGTCCCTCTCTGTCTCTCAAAACTAAATAAACAAAGAAAAAAATTTTAAAAAACGTTTTCATCACTCCCAAAATTAATCAATCTCTTATTCACATGCAGTTTTCCTAATAGCAGTCTGCCTCTGGTCCTCTTACTTTAGAATCACGTGAAAGGGTTTCTTTCTCTGTCTCTGTCTGTCTCTCTCTGTCTCTGTCTGTCTATCTCTCTCTCTGTCTCTGTCTCTCTCTGTCTCTCTCTCTCTCTGTCTCTGTCTTTCTCTCTCCACTCAATAGACAAACAGATATAGATGATATTGTGCAACACTTTCCAAGGCTCGAGATCCGGGAGACATTTCTAAACAGTCCTTGCCCACTGGTCTAGTTGTTTAAACTGATTTAATTACTTAAACAGAGTAAAGTACTATAGCATGAGTAAAAGGCTATGTTTATATCTCAGGTTTCCCACAATTTGCAGTTAACTAAGATGATTCTTGTCTGTATCCCCAGCTTGCGAGTGTGACCCGGACGGGACCTTATCGGGTGGCGTTTGTGTGAGCCACTCTGATCCTGCTCTGGGGTCTGTGGCCGGCCAGTGCTTGTGCAAGGAGAACGTGCAAGGAGCCAAGTGCGACCGGTGCAAACCCAGCCACCAGGGACTGAGCGCCGCCGACCCCCTGGGCCGCCAGCCTGAATGCGCGCGAAGGCCTGGGGCTCTCGGTTCCGCTCACTGTCTCTGGGGTCTTTAAAGGTGATGCAAAACCTCCCGCAGAGTTTAGTTAAATTAGTGGCAGATTTGTTTTTTGTTGGTGGTTAGCTGAGTTTATCATAAGGCACCAGCAGGGGGCGCTCACATTTCCCCGCTGAGCCAGCATGGGAAATGCCAAGAAATTTAACGCCGAGTTGCAAAACCTTTTGCAAAATGGTCTCGACTTGGGCTCCCTTTTACAAATTCGTTGAGTTCCATTATGCATTTATGCATAGACTAATGACTTCTTAAGCAGATTTCAAGTGGTGGTTTCTTTTCTTTGTCCTTTTTTTTTTTTCCCCCAATTACATTTCCCCTTTGTTCTCACACCCCTCCTGGAATTTGTCCTGTATTCTCTGACAAAGAGAAGAACAAAATTAAAGAGCCAATGAAGGGGTTGTGAGGAAACAACCTCAGGGTTTTCTGGGGCCAAAAGCGGAGACCTTTGCCTCTAGGATCACAGAAACTCTGAGCTGCCTGGGGTCTCACAGAGCTGCAGATTCCTCGGGGAATCTGGGTAAATGATTTCCCTTTGTCATGCTCTGTGTTTTTGCCCATATAAGGAACTGTAGGTTGTTTGCATGTTTAGAGAGCAGCGTGCTGAACCCTTCCTTCTCCTGGAACTTAATGACACTGTTTAATCCCAGGACGATGGATTATATAGTCCAGCCAATTCTCATCCCACTTTTCAGTACTCCAAGTGTTTCCTCGGGTTCAGCCCAGACCTGATGTCTTCCTAGAAGAGGCCAAATACTGTTTTTTGTTTTCTTTTCTTTTATAATAGCTTTAGTAAGATATAATTCACATACCATACAGTTCACCCTTTGAAGTACAATTTTGTGATTTATAGTGTATTCAGAGTTGCATAACCATCACTACAATCAATTTTCGGACATTTTCATTGCCCCCAAATTGTACCCTACTTCTGGCTATATACCCAAAAGGTTGCAAACAGGGTCTTGAAGAGGGATTTGTATCGCTTCTCAGCCTTTTGGCTAAGATCAAGTGTAGTATCTGTTCTTATCAGGTCGCAGAGTGATTTGTACCCCCATGTTCATGGCAACATCATTCACAATGGCGCCAAAGTAGAAGCAACCCAAGTGTCCAACCGTGGATGAATGGGCAAACAAAATGTGGGACATACACACAACAGAATATTATTTAGCCTTAAGAAAAGGAAAGAAGTTCTGATTTATGCAACAGCATCACGAGCTCGGGGGAGGTTATGCTCAGTGAAATAAGCAAACACAAAGGGGCAGCTACTGTATGAGTCCATTTCCATGAGGTATGCAGAGTAGGTAAGTCCACGAGAACAGAAAGCAGTGGTTGCCGAGGCCTTGGGGGAGGGAAGAATGGGGAGAGATGGTGTTTAATGGGTACAGAGTTTCAGTTTTGCAAGATGAAGAGTCCTGGAGATTGGTCGCACAACTGTGTGGCTATGTTTAAAGCAGTCGGTGTTACATTAAATGTGTTTTACTGTAAGAGAAGAAAAGCAACCCCATGGCCTTTAGCTACCACCTCCCTAACACCCATTAGGCAAGCACTAACCTACTTTCTGTCTCTCTCGATTTTCCCACTGTGGACATTCTTGTACAAATGAGATCATCCACCATGTCGTCTTTAGTGACTGGCTTCTTTCACTAGCACGGTGTTTTCAGGTTCATCCATGTCGCAGTAGGTGTCAGTATTTCATTCCTTTTTTATGACTGAGTAATAATCCATTGAGTGGATACTCCACATTTCATTTGTCCATTCACTGGTTGACACACATTTGGGTTGTTTCCATGAACATTGGTGTCTTCCCCCAAAGGAAAGGTGTATGTTGCTCTGGGAACACAATTTCCTAGCCATAACAACAGAGGCAGGACTCAGACGTGCCCGGGCGTGGAAGAGATAGAGGAGAGAGACAATGAAAAAGTAGCAAGGCAATAGGAAGAGAGAGAAGAGACAGGGAAATGAGCGATGCATCTGCCTAAAAAGGAGCCGTCAGTAACAACCGTGACACTCAAACCCTCGCCCTGCATCAAGCAAGCCAACTGGCTCCCAGCATCACTCAAGGTAACTGTGCTCCACCTTGTACACCTTCTACTTTGACTCTCTGATTGCCATCCAGTAGCACCGCATGAGGGTTCTGGAAGTGTCTGGCACTGGATTTCCCAAGCAGAGTTGTATGCCATGCAATAGACTTGGCAGGGCTGGCTCTTGGGTGTTCCTGTGGCCACATATTCTGCTCAGTGTGAGCTATTTAAGGACAGGGTGGGGAAATAGAAATGAGAATAATTGTGTTTGCTTTGCTTGTAGCCTGCAGCTGTAAGCCCCCTGGGAGTCTGCCATTCTCAGCCTGTGATTGGAGAGCGGCCAGTGCCCCTGACAGCCGTTTGCCCCCGGACCACGCTGTGAAGAGTGCACCGTATGTATTTGCGTAGGATTTCCCTTTCATGTGGTCGAGTGGGTGTCTGCTGCCGTTGCCTAGAAGAGACTCGGTCTTGTTAATTGCTTTCTTTGTGCTGATGTATTTCCACCCTCCCGGGAAAGGTATTTACACTACAGAAATTAGCAAACACTAACCCTTCCGCAGAGAGCTCACTGGTTGTTAAACATTTACCAGATTGGACTGAACAGACTCAGGCACCGATGTCAGAAGTTTTAGCTGCTGTTCTCCCCCAATGTGCCAAGCAGTAAAACAGGACAATTTATCTCCTCCCCTTTTTCAGCCCAGCAGATTGTGAAGCCTTTTCTTCTGTGTTTTGCATAGAGTCTCTTTATCGCCTCTACCAGCCTTTGCCTAGAAATATTTGAGACGAGCTCATTTAAAAGCACAACAACCCAGGTTTAAATGCATTATGGATTCCTGTGGGAAATAAACTGGATTTTTCATAGACTCCACCAAACGTATGAGCTCGTATGTCTAAAATTAGTAAACTGAAACCTTTTTTACGCCCTAAGAGATGTGTCATGCAGTTAGGGAGTTCAAATCCAACTTTTCCCTTTGTTCTGCAATCCTGGCAGCCCACCATGACATTTTAGAAAGAAAAGACCCAGAACTTAACCTAATAAAAGAACAGTGACCTTGATGTGTCTGAAGAAATGCAGCTGCAAAATAAGAAACATATGCCTATTACAACATCCTTCCGTGCTCATATTTTAAGCTGTTTTACTGAAAACATATGAGGCCGGGGCCCAGGGGCAGGGAGAAGAAGGCAAGAAGGTACATTTGAAGAAGCGACTCTGGGAGACGGGGCCGGTCACCTCCAGCATTAGGGAGGGAGGCGAGCCATGCCAGGCCCACAGCCTGGCATGGCTAGGCAGCCGAGGCAGCACGAAGGATGCTGGGCTGGTTAGCAGGATTGACAAAGAAACCGCATCGGATGATTCCAGACAGACCTTAGACTCGGGCTGACGTTGCCGGTTTGCAGTTTGACAGCCACTGTCTAGTTCACTGGATTGTGTGTGCAAGAGCAAGATCGCTGAGCAGGAGCTGGCGGGGGAGGGGCGGGGAGGAAGAGGGTTGCCCACTGTGGCGTCCGCCAGGTGCCCCGCCCCCTCCTCCCTCTGGCAGACCTGTGCTGCTGAGCACTCCCCCCACCCCCACCCCCAGCCCCGTGCCGGCACCCTTGGCCCCGGGGGGGTTTTCACAACCACATCCCAGCAAAGCAGGTCACTGCACATTGTTTCTGCCCAAACCGAAGTCTGGTTTGGGGAGAGATCACAAAAATCTTTTGCTGTGGTTCTGTAACAAATTCTGCCAGCCTTTAATGTTTAAAAATCAATCTTCCTGAGTCAAATCAGGAGGAAAATGTTATCAAGATAACAAGTAACAAGAACAACAAAACGGAGACATAACAAACCTGTTTCGAACGAGAGTGCCATGCCTATTAAGACCTTGGTTTTGTCTGAGCATGTTACATTGAGATTTGAAAGGGAAGTATTTTTTGGAGCATTTTATAGTAAACATTATCAGATTTAAGAAATAGTTGTCGTAGCCCCAGCTGCTTATATTGAATAAAGGTCAAGATGTTGCAATGAAGAGAAGTCTTGAACAGAGCGGACTCTCTCAGGCAGAGCTTGTTATGACGAAACAGCTTACTTATAAACAAGCTAAACTGTGATATGCAAATAAGATCTCAAAATCAACTTGATTTTTTGTTTTTTACCCCAAAACATTTTAGGATTGTGGAAGTCAAAATCCCTTGGGATTCCGTGGGGAGGGAATCTACTGGGTTTACAAAAGCAGTTGCAAATAGGCTCGGTGAAGACCTCCCCAGACTGGCCTTCAATAACTCACCGTGAGTCTAAATTGGTGCGGTCAGAGCAACTGTGTAGTTTGCACCGCATTTTTTAAAAACTTTATTTTGAGGGAGAGAGAAGAGAGGCAGAGAGAGGGAGAGAAAGAATCCCAAGCAGGCTCTGCCCTGCCAGTGCAGAGCCCAGGGCAGGGCTTCATCTCCCCAACTATGAGATCATGACCTGAACTGAAAGCAAGAGTCGGACACATAACCAGCTGAGCCATCCAGATGTCCCTGCGTTGTTTTTTTTTTAAAGAGAGAGCAAGCAAGGGAAATGGGCAGAGGGAGAGAGAGAAAATCTTAAGCAGACTCCACACTCAGAGCAGAGCCCAACACGGGGCTTGATCCCACAACCCTGGGCTCATGACTTGAGCCAAAAATCAAGTCAGACGCTCAACCAACTAGGCCACCCAGTAGACCCCCCCCCAACCCCCCTGGATTTTTGCTTGGAGTAATATGCACTCCCCTTCATTTCAAGTCCCAGGGATAGTAGAGCTGTGTCCTCAGAGGTCATTACCAAGTACCCAGGCAAAAAAGGTGACTGTGTGATTGCCCAGGCTGTGTGGCTATTTGACGTGTGTCAACTGAACTGTGCTGATGTTAATATTTACCCTTCAGAACAGCACATATCTTCAGTGCTGGATTCGGCTGAACATTTTCTCTTTACAGGTTGGATACTGGGGACTGGAAAGTCACCTCCACGGATGTTCTCCCTGTGATTGTGATATTGGAGGTGCTTATTCCAACGTGTAAGTCACTGAATGAATGACACAGTCCTGTGGCTATAGTCTCTACTCACCTTTCCACATTTCATTCTCATCTGCTTCTCGTCATCGGTGATGGCCTTGATTTCATGGCAAGCCAAGGGCACTGAAAAGCAATGATCTTGAGACATTACCTATAGCCTGAGTGATTTCATTTACTTGAAATATTTCCAAGGAAGAGATCAACAGTCCAACTGCCTGGGTAACCCACAAGTTGGTGGGAGAGATGCCTTGTGTGACTTGACCTGCCTAAAACACCAACGTTTTGCCACCCTCTAAAGAGAGGTCCTATACTCCTTTTTGCAGCGTCGAGAGCAGAATCGGAGGTGGCTCCTTAGTTTCATGGATCTGGATTTGCTTTTCAAGACCAGACATGTAGAGCCCATGGCCTCTTAACCTCCTCCTCAAGATAATTGATTGGTCAAGTCAAGGAGTGAGTCCAAACTCATAAGGCATACAGTGCCTTCATTTTATACCTCCCCCCTTTCCCTCAGTGCATGATGGATTTGTGCTTCCTCAGGTGCTCCCCCGAGGACGGCCAATGTGAATGCCGTCCACACGTCACTGGCCGCAGCTGCACCGAACCAGCCCCCGGCTACTTCTTTGCTCCTTTGAATTTCTATCTCTACGAGGCAGAGGAAGCCACCCCTCTCCAAGGACTTGCACCTTTGGTTCGTATTTCATTTAGTCTCCTTACAGACTTGATTTAATGGGGTGTCGGTAAATACACATAGCACGCCCTTGAGGTCCTGGGTAAGGTACCTGGACAAGAATGGTTTGGCCGCCTATGCCGATCAGAGCACTTTATTTATCATGGGACTGAAGATTATAGAAACACTGGAGGCCAGAGCCTGCATGTTATGTGATCTTTATATTACAATTCTAGCACAAAGCCCGGCGCATAAGTGTGAATTGGATTAGGCTGTGATCAAACAGACATGACTTTTGCTCTCTCGATGTGGCCACCTGCTAACTTGAGCGTCTACTTGTCTGCCTTCCCCAGGACACTATAAACCACGAGAGGGACGGGTGGATGTGTATGCCACTCGCCACTGTTGCCCTCGCACCTCCCACGGTGGGCCTGAGCCCTAGCAGGAACCTCACAGACCTCTGCTAACGATGAGTGGATAAGGTTCAAAACAGAAGTGTACAGTGTCCTCCTGAAGCTGATCTCAGATTGCCGTTCCCACTGACGTTTACTGGTGTGGGTGACGGCAAATGTCACGTGGTGCTCTGCTTCATTCCCTCCAAGTCACGGTCCTGTGGGATACTTCCCTAAAAATGTATTTCTTAAAAGGCTTGTGAGAGGAGCAGACACACACGTGTGGAACAATTAGAGAAGTTCGACTCCGTGACATTCTCACATGACACTCTGTGGCATGTGACGCCAGCCGCAGGCAGGAATATGGCAGAGGAAAAGGTGATGTGTGGTGGCAGTCTTCGAGGAGAGAAAGCGTGTAAAAGTTGGTTCTGAAGAAGACAGGGTTTGGATAGGAAAGAAGGGAACCCATCCAGGTTCCAGCAACCAAGTCATTTCCTGAGATCTTTTCTTGGGCTGGACACCATTGATGGGAGGGATGAAAATGCCCCTTAGGAAGCTTGGAATGTTCTCTTTTGCTAACTGGAATTGGGGGACAGGGCGAGAGGCTTTCAGTATCCCTACTTAAACTTACAACCATGGTGGGGTGGGATCAAAATGAAACTGTTCTGTGCCTGCCTTCTTCTTCATGATTTTTAATTTTGCTTCTTTATGATGGAAACTGAAAAAAAAAAACTTTGGGAAGATAATATTGGTATTTATATTTAGGCCATAACTGTCCTCAAATAATAGAAAATATATATTGGTCCCTAACCCTGGTTCTTGGTAAAGAGGTCCTAAATCCTTCAGTATTTTCTGGGGGATAAGGATGTCTTTGGTTCTAACTGGGTGACTTGATGGGCTCCTAGATGGGGGCTGGTCGCCAGAAAGACCCCGCCATGATTAGAAGCTTAGAATCTTCCATCCTGCACCCCATTCTCTGTGAAGGGGAGGGGAACTAGAGATTGAGTTAATGATTGACCATGCCAGTGTCGTAAAGGTTCTATAAAAATCTCCAACATATGGGGTTCAGAGAGCTTCCAGGTTGGTGAACACATCCGTGTGCCAGGAGGGTGGTGCATCCCAACTCCAGGGCCCAGAAACTCCTACACTGAGAGCCCTCCCAGTCATTACTCAATGTATCTCATCATCTGGCAGTGTGTCTGTGTCCTTTACAGAATTCTTTATTATATAATGAACCACCAAACACAAGTGTTTCCCTGAGTTTTGTTTTAGCAAAGTTTCAAGCCCAAGGAGGGGGCCATGGGAATCCCAGTTTAGAGCTGGTTGGTCAGAAGTACTGGTAACAAGCTGGATTTGTTGTTAGCATCTGAAGGGTGGGGGGCAGTCTGGTGGGACTGAGCTCTTAACCTGTGGCATTGGACACAAAGTCCAGGGAGATGGTGTCAGGACTGAATTAAATTATAGGACACTCAGCTGGTGTCCGAAACTTGGTGAGCACGGGAATACAGCACACACTGGTGTCCAAAGTGTTGTGAGCATAGTAAGAGTAGAGGGGACACTTTGTATCTTTCCTATACACTCTGAATATTATTGTTCCCACTATTTTAGATAAGAAAACACAAGGCAGATGTAATATCTAGAGTAGATGGACTGATACTTAACATTTATTCCCAGCTCACCACGTGGTAGCCGCTGAGAAGCAGGTAAGTAGAGTAATATCATGTGCTAATAAAGCTCCAAACCGAGTGCTGTCCGACGTGAAGCCTTACTCCTCGCTCCGTGGTTTAAAGACGAAGATCAAGGACTTAGAATGGGCTTCAAGGGCCAGGAACATTGTGCAGAGGATTGGAAAGTAATATCTATGACAACTCAAGCTGGGACTGACGTTGTGTTTAAAATATAGTACGAATAATGTCCTCTCCACTAAAAAGATGATCCTTAATTGTAATAGAAAGAGTTTAAGCTAGACACTATTTAATTCTTTTCATATTCATTCAACAAATATGTATCGTGTGCTTACTATGCTCTTTCTGCTGACGTTAATAAAACTTTCAGGGGCACCTGACAGGCTCAGTCGGTGGAGCGTGAGACCCTTGATCTCGGGGTCAGGAGTTTGAATCCCATGTTGGGAATAGAGGTCACTGAAAACCAACAACAACTTCTCCTTAGTTAGCGCTTTGTCCTTTGCACTTTGTATGCATTATCTCGTTTGACTTTCCAAACAACCTAAGTATTATCCCCTTTAATTTCCAGATGAGGGAAACATGAGAGAGGTTACCTACCTTGCCCCAAATCACACACCTGGTGGGCAGTGGGCCCTGGATTGAACCCAGGTGCACCTGGTTCCAAAACTCTTGCTCTTAACCCATCAATATGTGCCAGCCACGTGCTCAACACTGAGCTCCAGGCTAAGGGCCGCATAGAAAGCAATTAGTTATGGTCTCTGCCCTCCAGGAATTTTTAACTGTAGCTAATACACTTACATAGATACCTCAGGATGGGGGTAGAGACATATGACAGGAAGGGTCAATATGTGTGGTGTGTTAAGATTTCAGACTCACAAGTGATCCTTTATGAACAAACTTGAGGCACAGAATAACGTGGCCTGAGACTTGAAAGCAATAAGTATTCCAGGCGGTGGCCTCAGTGAGAAGACCGTCCAGCCAGGAAAAGTTACAAATAACGGTTCAGAGGAGAGACGGGGTAGGTATATTCACAGATAGAACAAGAAGTTTATGTAGGGAAGAAGTATTGGAAAAGAACATTAGATCCTCCTATGAAAGAGACTGTATTTTACTCCTTGGGCAATGAGAACTCATTGAAGCTTCTCAGAGCCAGAGACTGCCTTGATGAAGACTGTCCTCGGTGTTCTCATAAGTGTGGTCTGGTAGCAGCAGGGCCTGGGATGGAATAGGAAGGAATAAGGAATAAGCTAAGAGGTCGCAGAGGAAGGAGAAAGGATGGAGAGGGAGTTACGGAAGGATGTGAATCCAAGACCATTGGAGAACTTAAAAAATGACAACTTTCTTAGTCTTCAAAAGATGTGTGTGTGTGTGTGTGTGTGTGTGTGTGTGTGTGTCTTCATTTGTTGCGGCTGCTATAACAATAGCACCAGAGACTGGGTGCCTTATAAACAACATAAAATTTATTTCCCACAGTCCTAGAAGCTGGGAAGTCCAAGACCAAGGCGCCAGCAGACTCATGTCTGGAGAAGGCCTGCTTCCTGGTTCATAGATGGCCATCTTCTCGCTGAGTCCACAGATGGCAGAAGGGGCAAAGGAACTCTCTGGGGTTTTTTTCATAAGGGCACTAATCCCGTTCATGGGCTGTGCCCTCATGACCCAGTCGCCTCGAAAAGACCCCCGCCTTTCATCACCACCAGTGTGGGGGTCAGCCTCCTCTATGTGGATTTTGCAAGGATGCGAAAAATCAGTCTATGGCAACATCCTTGCTACTCAAATTGTGGCCATTCGACCAACAGGTTTGGTGTCACCGGGGAGTTCGCTGGACTTGGGGGGTCTCAGGTCCACCCCAGACCCGTTGAATCGAGTCTAGGTGGTAATGGGATCCCTATGTGATTCGTGGCCAGCTTGGGAAGCACTGGCTTGTTTTCTTATAGAAACTACCTGTGGTCACAAGACGTCATACTGATTGAATTTAACATCATGTGGAATTTAATACAGTATAGCATAAAGTTAATTCCGTAATATGCTTTCTGTATAAAATTAATGAAATAGTTTCTAATTGTGTGATACGCAATAAACACAGTTGGTGAGGGGAAAAAAAAAAAAAAAGAAAGAAAGAGGAGGACAGATAGACATAATCCAGTGTGGCTAAGGGTCCTCATCGCAGAGGTCAGGCAGCTGGTCCGAGTGTGGCTGAGAATCACTAAAATAAGAGAGTTCCTGAAGCGAGCCTCAGCTGACCTGAGCCCTGCATGCTCTTGACAAACAACCAGGGTGCCTGTGAAATGAAAAAAATCTTGTCTGTAAAACCAATAACGAAACATCCACCAAGGAAAGCACCCACATCCAGAGGACCATGAAAGTCTAGAAATGAGCATTTGGCGATTCTGACCTGGTCCCCACTAAGGAGTTGGTATAAAAGGGAAGCCCGTGACACCAGGATCTTAAGGAGACGGGAGCTGCATGGATGCAGTTCCTCTGCTTCATTTCGGATTTGGCTCTCCCGGTATAACCTCTCACGGGACCCTGAAAGGCCAAATCCCACAAACTGTGAGAATGGCCAGGAATTGGTCTAGAGAATGTCCCGAGTAACAACAATAGCTAATGAATCTGTCTCTACACCATGCCCGCTGCTGATTTTCTACAACTTTCTTCTTGAGATCTCTCATTAAAACTTAGCATTTGTACTTTTTTAATTTTTTTAACACCATGAAACTAAGAGATACGAATAAATGTTTTTCCAGTTTCGAATTTCACCGGTACGGCATTGTTCCAAAAGAAAACCCAAGGCGTCATAGGACTACCAAAAATTTCTCATTCTCACAGCGAAACCAAGAATTATAAAGTGCCTCACAGCTCCTTCCTGAGGCTCAGAGCCTCAGGAAAATTGTGATTACCTTTTAACTTATCAGATAACCGGAAACTCTTGCACTATGGTAGAACC